AAATTCCTTTAAAAGATCATTGAATGTACTTTTTCAGCTGCTCCTCTTACTTTCTGAGTAAACTTGTACTTTGAACCACTCATCAGGGTGTGTTTTGTAAACTTTCAGTGTCCTGGTTGACGTCTTTATTCTTGAATGTCAGGTGGATGAGAGGGAGAAGTTGATCAGCTAACCTGTGGCATAGTGAATCAAGACTTTCTTGTTTGATTAAACATTGCAAATGGTTTTAGTTAGTCATTACTAATGCAAGAGGGTCCTTAGGCAAGAGCAGGAAATTGATGATGTCAACTTCACTGTTATAACATGGAGTATTTTATTTGTTTTCAAAATATTACAGGAAGTTACTATATGCTATAGTAGATAAGTTATCAACCAGTAGTAGTAAATCCTACATAAAAATTAATTTTCTCTAAGATAAGTAGTTCTAATTTATGAATTGTTTCAATTCTAGCCTACCACCTGCTCTTTTGCTATCCTAATTCAAATTTCTTGCCCTCCTTATATCTCATTAAAATGCTGACTACTTTATCTTTCTGCCTTCCTGATACAAGGCCTGTTTTTATCTTCTCTCCTTCCTGCAAAAAACTTTGGTGACGCTTAGTACGCCAGCCTTGAAAAACTCCCACATCTTTTCCTTATCTAAGGGTTAGTTTTAAAGGATATAAAAGTGAATCAGGATGAAAATGTTTCTTGCCCATTCTGACTTGTCTAGCGGTTGTCCATGAGTTTGGGGAATCACTATTACTCTTTAGAAAGTTTTAACCAACTGGTTGAAATACTGAAAGGTTTTCTGGTAGCATCTTGATCATAAAAAAGCAAAGTGAAGCTTTTTCTTTGCATATTCTGCCCCATCCACACTGGCCTCCTCACTTCTCCCCTCTCTTGAATCAGCTCTTGCCTCAGATCATCCATCACATGCTTGAGCTCACATTGTGTTCAGGTCTCAGCTTAAAGGCCACCTCCTCAATGTGACGGTTCTTGGTCCCCATCTCTAATAGATCATTTCCCATCTTTCTCGTGCTGCTTTGCTTTTTTTTTTCATTGTACTTATTGTTAGCCAACATTTTATACATATGTTTGCTTTTCTGAATAGAGCATAAGTTTCATGACACAAGGATTTTGTTTATTGCTGTATCCCCAAGGCCTGGACATAGTAGGATCTCAGTAAATGCTTGTTGAATAAAAGAATTTGCTCTGTCCCGTGCCTTCAAGTATTTAATTAATCAAAATTAGTTTAAGTAGTACCAGATAATGGAGATATTGAACTTACATGGAAAGAATGAAGCAAAATTTGTTTTGTTTCACAAGCATAAATAAAGATTTTAATTGAATTTTATTTTTATTACATTCATTTCAGCCAACATTTATTCGTATCCCTTGTGAGTAGTAGACACTATACTGGATAATAGGATAGAAAAATGCATAATATATAATCCTTCAGGAATTTTACAATCTAGCTAGGAATAAAACATGTAACCAAGTAATACTGTGTGATAAGTGCTGTGATAGGAAGAAAATACTCTGCCAGCACAGAGGAAGGCCTCTTCATTTCCATTGAGAAAGTGAAGCGTTTTCAACCAAAAATGGTTTGAAGTTGCCAGTAATATTCCCGTGGGTCACATCTGGTCATTGGAGGATACATATGAAATGAAGTTTGGTCTACTTCTCCATAAAAATTACTTGTGTCATTCAAGTTAAAAAAAAAAAAGCAACACCCTTCTTGTGACTGCTTACCCTGATAGATGTGAGCCATTTTCCTCATCTTACTCTACCAGACAGGGCTGTGTGCCATTCTCAGACATGTAGGGCTTGATAGGTTAATCTCTGAACTGTTCATGGTACCTAGCAGTGAATAGATATAGTTGTGTATAGGTTGGATAGATTCAGTAAGCAGTTCTGGACCAGCTACAGAATTCTAAGTGGTTATTTGAGATCAGTGATTCTTAAGAGTGTGTGCCTTGGACCAGCACGTTCTCAGTATCTTGTGGGAATTTTCAGGCCTTACCCCTGACTTATTGTATCAGAAACTGTAGGGATGGGGCTCAGCAATCTGTGTTTTAACTAGGCTTCCTGGTGATTCTAACGCACACTTAAGTTTGAGAGCACTGTTTTAGATCATTTAATATAAGATCATTTTATATAAATAATGTATTGCCACTTAGATTTACTTTGTTTTATATACTACATATTGAAGAAGCTGTACAGTTTATGGCATGCTTAAATTAGAATATAAATTGAACTCGAAGGCATTCTAAATTTATTTTGATCTTTCTTACGGGGCTTGTCTCTATATATTCATGTCTAAAATTCCTGCATTTAGAGATTTGTTTGCGATTATTTACACTACACAAAAACAGTATTGGTGAAAAGTTTCCTGGATTTAATTTTTTGAAGTCTTTTGTCTTTAGTGAAATTCTCTCTCTTTTTTAAATTAATTCTTAATGATTAAAATTTAAAAGTCACTGTTTCCACTTTGATAATCTAATCTCATAGAAACATCTGCATGAGTTTTGGGGAATACATGTATATTTTAACTCATATAATACGTTGATTCCCAAAATATCTTTGGCTTAAAATAAAAGCAGAAGCTCTGAAGTCAGGCTTCCTGGGTTCAAACCCTGGCTTGAAACTTGCTGTCTGCCTTGGGTAAACTGTCTACTAAACATCTCTGAACATCATTGTCCTCATCTGTGTAACAGGGATAAGAACAGTACCCAGCACACAGAGCCACTGTGTGGATTTAAATGTGATGGTATTATCAGGGTGTAATGGTGGTGATAGAACTAGTAGTGGTTAGAGGTACTGCTTCCACCCCTGCATCAGAGTATATGTGTTATACAATTATAACAGCAAAAAAATTAGAAGCAACTCTGATATTCAGTATCGGGGGAAAGGATAAATGAATTCTAGTATATCAGCACAACAGGGTTCATGCAGCCATTAAAAAGAATAAGGTAGACTTATGTGTTGTGTCAAGAAAAGATATCCATAATATATTCAGTGAATAAAGCAAGTATGTTACAGGTAGAGCATGACCCCATTCAGTGGGTATGCATGTATATGAAATGTACATGGAAAAAAATCCAGAAGCATGTCACAGAAACAGAAATTGTACATTTTTTTCCCCTGGGGAGTGGGTTACAATAAACTTTTGCTTTGTTTGTTATGTATTTCTACAATTTTTAAAGTTTTTTTTTTTTAATTTAAATGAGCTGTAAAAATTAATAACACAAAGCTTAAGAGGCAATAGGCATTGGATTAATAACATTTATCATTAGTATATTCTGTTTATAAACCTGTTTGAAAATAATATAGAAACTGTGTAATTTTTAACTATAGAAAGCTCAAAGTATTAATTAAAAGGCAAGAAATTCATTCTCTCATTAAATATTTATTGAGCAATTACTCAGGTACTAGCCTACAAGTTTGAAAAGATGAGTGACTTGGTTATTGCTCGTATAAGGAGAACAAGACATGTAAACAAGTAGTTAGAGTTCTGCCTTCTATTAGATGTTAACTGCAAAGAGGAGATGAAACTAATAATTCTGTCTGATGTAATCAGGGCAGGCTGGATTGAAGAGGTGGCATCTGGTCTGTTGCAGGATGAGTAAGAGTTTATAAGGGAGGAAAGGATGTCTGTGATAATGGGAACAGCACAGAAAGGAGATGGCATGATTTTCTGAAAAGTTGCTGAGGTTGGCTTGGACTGCTGATATAGAAAGAACTTGTTCCATTTTTGCATAGGAAGCATACTCAGTCTTTGGTGTTGGATACGGGAGATGAAAGGAAAGAATAGTAGTTGTGAAGCGCAACGGCGTAGGAATCAGGCTGCCTGGGTTTGAGTATTATCTGTGACACTAACTAGCTTTGTGACCTTGTACCACATTTAACCACTCTGTGCCTCAGTTTCTTCATTAGAATGGAGGTAGTACTACTGCCTGTGTCATTGGTGTCATTGTAAGGATTAAATGAGTTAATGTATATAATATACTTAGGACAGTGATTCGTACATAGTAAGTACTCAGTTCATGTTAGTCTACAGGTTTTAGGCATGTACTCAGACTTCCCAATTTATACTTCCCCTTCGGGATAGGAGGAAAGGAGGGAGGGGACAAGGGGATGAGAAGCAAATAAGCTTGAATTTGGTAATTTATTCTAGGCCTCACTTTTCATTGCTGTTACCTCCCAAAAGCAATTGTCTTGCTTCCCTAACCTAATAAAGATAGAAAAATCTTCTTAGACTTACTATATTCTTTAGTCCTACCTCCCAGTTGTTGTTTTCCTTACTCTGCAGCTTTGAAATGATACCTTGTCCTTTCTTCCTGAGAAATTTGCCTTCCTACAGCTTTAGCGCCCCACTTCTGCCTTCCAAGTCTCACAGACTTACAACAACCAACCACCATCCCCACCTCTTAGCAATTTCTTGGCTGCTTAAAAATAAGCTTTTTTGGACTGTAAGTTTTTCTATTACAGTTTTCTTGGTGTGAGCCAGCCAGTCACATAAATAAAGGAAATAAATGGAACTTGGCAGGCTTAGCTAACTTGAGCATTATTATTAAATAGAATGTTTATGACACGTTAGATGGTCTGAAAACACATGCATATATATATATTCCTTATTAAAGAACCTTGTAGTCCCTAGGAAAATACCATCACCATACCGATTGGATTGGGAGTAGTCCTTGAGCCCCAACACTCCCATGCCTTGTATTAACAATAGTGATAATTATTTAAGTCATGACTTCCAAAAGAATTTTTGAAAAACTAATTTTTTTTCTTCCATGTTTGTCTTGGGGATGTTCGTTATGGTACTTGGTGGTTTCTTTTTAGTGGAGAAGAATCGGGCATATAGGTTTACCTTTCTTCTCTAAACATGTGCTTAAATCTGTTTTAATGAACTGTTTTATGTCAAGATGTCTTTCTTTTTAAATTAGTACCCCTCCCACTTTTTTTAGCTGCACCAAATAAAAACCAACCGTGATTTTTTTTCTGTATTATAGGTCCTCTTCCTGATGGATGGGAACAAGCCATGACTCAGGATGGAGAAATTTACTATATAAACCATAAGAACAAGACCACCTCTTGGCTAGACCCAAGGCTTGACCCTCGTTTTGGTAAAGGTTCATCTCAAAACCTTTTTAGATATTTTTGATTACTATTTTTTTTGGTATGTGTATTGGGAAGGTACATTTAAATAAAATCGCATTGCTTTTATAATATTAAAAATGACCGCCCACCCAACATTTCCCAGTACTATTTTTATACTTCTCACTTTAAACTTGAGAAATTCAGGTCTAAATCAGCTTTTTTATTCTGGGCTCTTTGGGTTGGGGGTGGGAGAATGTTATGGTGGCTAACTAACCAGAATCACTGTTCCTTTCACGTTTTTGGAGACATAGTGGTCTTGCTTAAAATGATCTTCCTAGCTGCAATAATAATCAGGCTGTCACGCTACATCTAAAACCTGGAATACCGGCTTTTGTCAGTGACCTGGTGTCTGCTTATGCTTAACTTCTGAGTGATGAATACCATCCCATGCCTGAGTATTGTAGTGTTTCCCAGCCTAGGGGGGAGAAAAAGACCCATCACAGTAGAGATGGTCCGATGAAAACATTGTTTCTCTCTTCTTTACTGTTTTTTTTTTTTTTTTTAAATGTAAATACTTTTCTCTGTTCTTAATTTAGGAAACAAAAAGCAAGCCATATTCCTCTCCAAATCACATCTCCTCCCAAATGTGTACATTTTGATAAGCTTACATAAGTTCTTCAGTGCCTTTTTACTCATATTTTTTCACTGTTTTCAGTTTCTTTAGTTGGGTTTCTGAGGTATTTTTCCAACGCCATGGAAAAATGAATCTAAAAAGGAGCAGATCATTGTGGTTTTGAAGCTTTCGTCTTGGACTGGAGGCAGCTAAATGAAAACAGTGTGCAGATCACTGAGTAGGTCAGACCAAGGGGACACGGAACCTTTGAAGCTTTACAGGGGTTGACCTAACAACAACTGTGGGGCCCTTACGGGAAAGAGGAATTAACTCTGTGAATGCCATCAAAACACAACCCTGGGGCGAGAAAGAAAAGGAAAAACTCTACCCACAGCTAGTCGGATAAAATAACTTCCCTGTCAGGAACATTATGAACAGTTCTCCTATGTCTTTATGTATATCTTTAAAAAAAAATCCAGTACTTGGCTTTACCCCAAACTGACTGACTGGTCAGCTTTATGGACTGATTGAGCCCCCTATTCAAGTAAAGTCAAAGGTGGGGTCAGGGCAGAGACCGTCATTTTGACAGATACCGGTTTGGCTTAAATACTAGCCTTTTGAGCTTCAGACCTGTTTGAGTGTTGAAAAGTAATGTGGCATGTTTATAATTTGCAACTTCAGATTCTATTTAATACTTGAATAAGGCCTTGTGGTTGAAACTGGAAACCGAGTAAGGTTGATAATTTAATAAATATTGGCATTTGTAGGGGCTGGAAAGATCACAGCCGTGTTTCCTTAAAATCATCTTTAATAAAATGAATTCAACTTGTCTAGGTTTTGGAAATTTAAATAAATGGTGCTGTGGTTTTTTTCTCAACACAAGATTATGAAAGATGATGATTAACTGTTAGCTAGCTACAGAGAACGGGAACTAGAACATAGCTTTTATTTTTTTTTAAATTAAAGAAATATTTTCATTTAGAACAATGAAATAAAACAACTCTGTGAGTTTAAGTAGACCAACTGGATTACACAGACTGGACTTTTGTTTTAAGGGGGAAGTACAAAAAAAAAAAAAACTCCTTCCTTAACATCAACACATACGTACACACAAGCATACAATTAGATATGCCAAAAAAAGTTTCATAAAGTTTTTTTTACTGCCTTTAGTTTCCCTTTTTGGGCCCATTGCGTATGTATATTCCAGACAGCCTTGACAACATGCCAAAGCTTTTTATTTTGTGGCTCGACTTTTAATCTGTTCCAGACCTTTTCAGTCAGAGAGCTCAAGTGTAACTGAAGGGGGGCAGGAAAGAAAAAACGTGTGGGTTTCTCTGATCTAGAGTGACAGCAAATAGAGACAAGCTGTTAGCTGCTGAATTTGAAGGAGTTTTCCTTGAAATCTGCAGTTCTATATAGTGGATTACATTTTATCTCTACCAGAGAAATATAAACTATCCCCTTCTTTCTGCTCCTTTGAGCCATGCAAACATAAACAAATGATAGGTTATTGCTGTCGTGCTTGTGGAGTTTGCTTTTCTGTATTTTCAAAACCTATATTAAAGTGTCAAACAGGCCTTTGTCTTTTGGTATTTTGAAATGAAAGATTCACTCTGTATAAGCTTAATTTTATTGCTCACCTCCTGCCAACGTCAGCCTCTTTTATGTTTTTCTTATCAGATACTTTAGAGTATTCAAAGAATAATTTATCGGTGCTTCACATCCCTCATGAAGTTAATAAATTCTGTATTTAATTTTAGTAAATTAGTGATTTGTTGTGGATTGATTCTAGTTTATCTGATTGTCATGTTCTTTAACTTTGAAAAACTATCTTTTACATTTATATTGTTATAGAGAGTTTACTAGTAATTTGTAACAAATCGTGAAATTACATCTGATTGCAATAAATATTTACTTATTCTTGAGCTTTGAAATTCTTGAGCTTTGAAAAATGGAGAGTAAAAAAAAAAAGAATTAGAAATGTATTTACCCTGTATTTTAAAAAATGATTCATTGAGTATTATGCAGGCCATTAAATTATTTCATATAAACACGTAAGAGACCCTTTTTTTTTCCTGGAGATTTTGTGCTGGTAAACATAAAGATTCTCAAGTTTAAACATCTTCTTGTACATTGTAGAATTAATGTTTTATGTAATATAATCATATAAATATTTTCCAGTAAAATCCCTAATGAAAATGCAATAAAATTATAATTCCTATTTTTCAGAATAAAAGAATAAAGACCAACTAAATGCCTAAGAATCTGTCGTATTAAGACCAGGCACCAAGTCAATGAACTGATCTTTTATGTAATGTTACTGTCCCTATGGTTTATATAAAAGGATGTATTAAATAATGCTAGCAATCTGTTCTTCTGGAAATAAGTGCTGATGGCACCACTGGGATAAAAAAATATATATATTTGGTTTAAACAAAAATATTGAAGCCAGAGATTTGGAGGAAATACATATCTTTTAAGTCCGAAAGGAAGCAGTGAACAATCTAATGTGGCAAAAACAACATTCTATAATTCCTAATACTATTCTGGGCATGGAAATGTTAAAGGTAATCAAAACACAGATGTTGATTTTGGTTCTCTGTTTCAAAGTTTCTCAAAATTTGTGTATAATATAATTTTTTTAAATAATAAATAAAATACACATATATGTAATTTCTTAAAATAAGACCCCAAAGCCAAGATTTTCTTCTTAAAAGTTCCTGTCATCCTATCAAAGTTAAATTCTTACATTAATAATTTTAAAATTTTAAATGTTGAGACATTCATTAGCCTTTTTTCCTTTAAGACCCAGTATTTCTGATGCGTATTATAAATAATATTTTTCTTTTGATAAAAACACACTTACTGAGTAAATACCTAAGAATCTCTCCTATTAACAATAAGGAAAAACACTAAATACTGTAGAAATTAAACCTGTAACTCCATTAATAGAATCTTAGGTAGAAAGAATGTTAACATCTAATCATGTGAATTTTATTGAAGCAAATTTTTTTTATATCTGTGCATTAAAAACAAGATTTTTTTTCCTTCCTCTCTTATATTTCTTCCTTGGTGATCTTAAACTGTCAGATGAACTTGGTTGTGGACTATATTATTAGCTACTTAGGATATCGACAAATAGATGTTTCAGTGTTTTTTAGGTAAGAAAAACTGTTGCCAATTGAAAATCAGTAACAGATAAACCTCACAAAATTTGGCCTTGAAAAGGACTTTATAATTCTTCTAATCAGCATTTCTCAGTTAGAGGAATGCTAGTATTCTGGGCACTATAGGACATTTGTGCCACACAGTCATTGGAAAACCCTGGGAGAGATGGGGGATACTGCCCCAAATCTGAGTCCCTCTGAAACTAAAGGGCATTGTGACCTTTCCAAGGTTACATAGTTAAGTGACAGACTGAAATCTGAACTTGGTCTATTGGCATCTAGAATTTATAAGAAATTTAGGTTGCGTGCAAGTAATCTTTCTGAAACACATCTAATACACCAATACTGATACGTGGAAATTTCAGACTGAGGAAGAAGACAGTGATTAATTCACTTATATCCTAACTGTGACTTATCTTGAGGAAATTACCTAAAGGTAATGAGTTTCCAATTACAGAAGAGAACTTTAAGATCTCGGATTGGAACAGACTTTGAAGCCAGACCTCACCTCTATCATATACTTCAGAAATAGTCTTTCGACCTTAGCTTTGACCTTTCTGCTGACTGGGAGTTTATCGCGTTATAAGGCAGTACAGTCTCATGAAGGAAAATCCTAATGACCAGAAAGATTGTGTCCCTTTTTAGCCCAGAAATTTACTTCCCTTCAAATTTGTGAATAAACCAAAAATCCTCAAAGTGTTCTTTTCTAACTATGGTTTCTCCAGTTTTTCATGTTTTCTTGGTTCTTTATCAGCTCACACCCCTCCTCTGGATGCTTTTCATTTTATTGGTGTGTCTTTAAATATGATACTCAGTATGGTATTTTATTTGTGCATTATCCAGTGATAAAAATAACATTACTCTGACCTGGCATACAGAGTGCTCCAAAAATCCTAGTTTCTCTTGTTAGTGGGTTACCTCTACCTCTTTATGCTCAGATGGTACTCCATGCACGCTAGATAGCTGCTACTCCAACTTCCTCACTGCTGTCCTCTTTACCTGGAACATCCACCATGTCTTTCTCTTGTTGAGTCTTTCAATCCTCTTCTCACATGTACTTTTTATGAAGGATTCATCCATTTTCTCCAAATCAGGTCACCTTTTTTCACTTTCATTTATTTTTTCCAGTATTATAATAGATTTGATGAACTTTTCTTTGAAGTTCCTTGAGTGCCTGCATGGTCTACCATATTTTTTTTCACAAATAACGCCCCATGTAAATAACATGCCCACATATATAACATGG